CCTCGAGCCCACTTCCTTCACCGTCAAGGCCGAGAGCGTGAGCAAGAACTCCCCTCCCGAGTTCCAAAAAACCAAGCTCATGACGCGCCTCACCTACACTCTCGACGAGATCGAGGGCCCATTCGAAGTCTCACCAGACGGGACCATCAAGTTCGAGGAGAAAGATGGAATCGACTATGCGGCAGTCACGGTTCAGCTGCCAGGAGGGGAAAGGGTCCCGTTTCTGTTCACCATCAAGCAGCTCATTGCCTCTGGAAAACCCGACAATTTCAGTGGGGAGTTTTTGGTCCCTTCTTACCGTGGCTCGTCTTTCTTGGACCCCAAGGGAAGAGGCGGGTCAACGGGGTATGACAATGCGGTAGCATTGCCAGCTGGCGGGAGGGGAGATGAGGAGGAGCTCGAGAAGGAGAACAATAAGAACGTGGCATCTTTGACTGGGAAGATTACCTTGAGCGTGACCAAGAGTAAGCCAGAGACTGGGGAAGTGATTGGGGTGTTTGAGAGCGTGCAGCCTTCGGATACTGATTTGGGGTCAAAGGCCCCTAAGGATGTTAAGATCCAGGGGATTTGGTATGCGCAGCTCGACTCGTAAGGTGTGGGTGATGATGTGATGTGTGGTGATGTACTGGTATTTTCTTGGTTGTTTATGAGTTTTTCTGGTCGTGTAATTGGGGAAGGATTGAAATTGAGAATAACTGTCGTGAATCCTACGTTGTATATTTATTAGTGTGTTTGTTTCTTTTCTAATATTCATGCTGTTGGTTTTGAACATGCTTGGTGAAGAAAGACTTGCTGCACGTTCGGGAGAAATTGCTCGGCTGGCATGACTGCTGCTGCTGCTGCTCTGTTGTGAAACAGTCGATAATTATATTGAGATTGGGGAATAATGACAGTATAAGGGAAAAACAGTGAAATGATTTTAGAAGGCATTGGCCATTTTATTAAGATCAATCAGGTAAGTTGATAAACAGAAATTGAAGTCACTTGCTATGTAAGAAATGCATCTTCGTACCTTCGCATGGGATGTATTCCCTTCTAATGATATTAGACGAACTTGGACTTTACACCGAGAACAGATTGAAAGAGAGAACCCAGCAAAAATCAATCTTTCAAAAAAAAGCATAGGCAACTGGGTTGATACTAACATAAGTCGAGCCAATACTCACAGAGAGAATCACAAACTCACCAAAAATCTCCACAAGAACATGACCCATCTGCAAAATGGTGGAACCTCAAAGAATCTCTAACAACGATCTTCACGCCTACGTATTTTGCCACAAACTTAATCGTGTTGTGGCAATCACCGCATATCCTCAAGTTCTTGAAAACCCTAATACACGACTCGCCTCTCAAATTTAGAACCCCAAAAGCTACAGCCAACTTCTCACTATGATTACAAAGGCTGTCCTCTTGCTCCTCCCCATCCAAATCTTGCAGAACAAATTCCGTATTAGGGTAATATCCGTCTAATTTCATCTTCGCTCGCACATCATCCAAAAACTCATACATTTCGTCACTCATTTCATTAATTTTATCACCAACAACAAACGTAAACACTCTATTCTTCACCCGGACCCAACTGCAACCGGGTATTTTCCTAATCCCTCTGTCTCTCATCAATTTCCTAGCGTACGAGGCTTCTTCCCACAGCTTGGCCCCAACAAGAATGTTAGAGAGCAAAACATAATTCCCCGGATTTTCAGGCTCGATCTCGAACAGCCGATTTGCCGCAATTCGACCTAAATCCACGTTCTTGTGCACCCGACACGCCCCAAGCAAAGCCCCCCATGCAGCCGCGCTCGGCTCCATAGGCATCTGCTGAATAAAATCATAAGCCTCTGCCAAACGGCCCCCACGGCCAAGAACATCGACCATACAGGAATAATGCTCTGCATCGGGTTTCACTTTATGATCGTTTTCCATCGAATGAAAAATCGAGAGCCCCTTGTCAACCATTTGCGAGTGGCTACAACCGGATAAAACGCCCGTGAATGTAACAGAATTCGGCTTCACACCCGAGCCCACCATCTCGTTAAAAAGAGATAAAGTCTTCTTTCCCTTTCCGTGCATCGTGTTTGCAATAATAATCGTGTTCCATGCAATTGTATCTTTTACTGTCATCATACGAAAAATCCGGTTCGATATTTCGAGGTCTCCACTCTTGGCGTATATCAAAATTAAAGCCGTACAAGTAGTCAAATCCTCTAAAAACCGATGTCTGACAATATAAGCATGAATCTCCTTTCCTCCATTCCAAAGCTCCAAAGAAGTACAAGCAGTTAACAGACTCGTAATCGTGATTTGATTAGTTTTGCAGCCTTGCCACAGCATGTTTTTAAATAAATCTAGCGCCTCTTGCGATTTTCCATTATCGGCACACCCAGAGATCACTGAATTCCATGTAACAGTGTCCGATTGAACTCCTAA